GTAAGTGCTGGTCGATTTTGACATATCCAAAACGTCATGAACCAAGCTTAGATATATGGTAAACAAACCGCTTTGATTGTTAGTGATTTTGTTTTGGCGTCATATACTTTTGGTTGTGTGAAAATGTCTGATTTTGTGCCAAATAATCGTCATTTGCGGGAAGTGTTGATTTTCTTATTTCATTCGAAGAAAATGGCGGCTGAAGCGCATCGAGAGCTCCAAAAAGTTTACGGAGATGCTGCTCTAAGTGAAACAACGTGCCGTGATTGGTTTCGTCGCTTCAAAGACGGTGATTTCGATGTTGACGACCGTCCGCGTGAAGGAAGGCCAAAAACCTTCGAAGACGCTGAATTGGAGGCATTGCTCGATGAGGATCCGTGCCAAACGCAAGAACAGCTTGCTTCAGCATTAGGAGTTACCCGCCAAGCCATTTCCAAGCGATTGCATGCGTTGGGAATGATTCAAAAGCAAGGAACTTGGGTTCCTTATGATTTGAAGCCAAGGGACGTTGAGAGTCGTTTTTTCGCCTCTGAACAACTGCTCCAGCGGCAGAAAAGGAAGGATTTTCTTCATCGCATTGTGACGGGTGATGAAAAATGGATTCATTACAGCAACCCAAAGAAAAGAAAGTCATGGGGACTGCCCGGTCATGCTTCTACGTCGTCGGCTCGGCCGAATATTCACGCTGCGAAGGTTATGCTGTGTATTTGGTGGGACCAGGTCGGTGTTATTTATTATGAGCTGTTGAAACCGAACGAAACCATCACTGGGGAACGGTATCGAATTCAATTGATGCGATTGAGCCGAGCACTGCGCGAAAAACGGCCACAATACGAGCAGAGGCACGAAAAAGTGATTCTACTGCATGACAACGCTCGGCCTCATGTTGCCAAACCCGTTAAAACCTACTTGGAAACGCTCAAATGGGAAATCCTACCCCACCCGCCATATTCTCCAGATATTGCGCCGTCCGATTATTACTTGTTCCGTTCGATGGCACATGGTCTGGCTGATCAGCAGTTCCGCTCATATGAAGACATCAAAAAATGGCTTGATTCGTGGATAACCTCACAAGACGAACGCTTTTACCGTAACGGCATTCGAGCTCTGCCAGAAAGATGCGAAAAAGTTGTAGCTAGCGATGGGCAATACTTTCAATGATTCATTTGTAACCATTTTTTCACAATAAAGTTGCATATTCATAAAAAAAAACAGCGAAAACTTAGTTGCGCACATAATATTTAAAACAATAGTGTTGTTTAATCAAATGATATGGTTTCCTTGAACGAAATAAAAGTTTTATCATTTTAAAAAATAATATTTTGTTTAAAAATATAATATTTTAATGAAATAAAAGAAAACACAAAATTAAACAAGTACGAATATTAAATCTAAAGAAAGTATTTTCTCCGAAAAAACGATATAAGGAGTATAAAAAATATGCAATAAGACAAATTAATAATTGCCATTAACGAGTGCTATTCTAAGTACTATTCTATAAGTATTATTGATGTAAAACATTACTGAATTTGAAATACAAGTAACAAATATAACTAGTAAATAAAGAAAATATATTATATTCCTAATATTTTTTTAAATATTACTGCAATATTGCTAAAGTAATATTGCAAATTAATGTTACTGCAAAGTCTCTGCAACATTGCACTGCAATATGCAATCTTGAAACGTTGTAGCAATGTTGCTGCAAGCTTCTGTGCTGTATGGACATTGCTGAGATTCGAGCCTAAGACCTCTCCCAGGTAGCAGACACGTCAAAATGACATCCAAATCTAAGTAAGTTCAGGATAATAAAAATAACCAAGGAACGATAAAAAATATCGTGAGAATATCATCAAAATGATAGTCTAATGTCACAGATGACGACATTTTAGACGACTTAATGACGTTTTATGACGCCTCTAAACGTCAATAATACGTTTTTAAGACGTTATACAGAAACGTTATTAAGATGTCACAAAAAAAACGTTTTAAAGACGTCGTTATTTAGTCACCTGACGTCATTCGACAAGTTTTTTACGTCATTTTGACGTGAGTCTGTTACTTGGGCTGATTCTTGTGTCGTTCACCTTACCTACTGCGTCACTGTCACTTTGATTGAGAGATGCTTTATATTGTGTACATATGGAATATCCATATACGAAAGCATATGATTTATTTAAAAGAAGAGAATAGATTCTTTTAAAATATGTTTTAAAAAGTATGTAGAAAGTATATTTAAAAAATATTTACATGTTTTAAATTCCCCGCATGGGTTCCCACCTTGTCGTTGGTGGTGGGGCTGTGGCTGCGGTCGGGGCATCCGCTCAGGGATGTTTCCCGGCCGCAGTCATCTAAGAGGAACCCCCCAAGCCAAGGTGTTAGCAACCGTGCTGAGAGCTGCGTGGCACAGGGAGAGCTGTGTCATGAACGGTGCCTCCCGGATACCGGGCTACCTCCGGGAGTACGCTGCCGAGCCCCGGGCAATCGCGACTCTGCCCGGGTGAGATCGCGCGACCGCGGTACTCGTGGGAACAAGCATGGACACTGGTACGAAAAAAAAGCAAAAAATATATGATCTTCTCCAGGGGGTGGCTTCCTTAGGAAGTGAACCTAGAGAAGGAGGAAACGACGCGGGATTGAGTACCGACGCTCGGTTCGATTCCGTGGCAAAGAGACTCGCAGAGCCACGCCCGAAAATGAGTGGGGCTGCGAGAAGAAAGCTGAAGAGGCAGCGGGCGAGAGAGAGGGCTGAAAAGACCTCTGAATCGGGTGCTGCCTCTGGAGGCGTAACAGGAGCTCGGGGGGAGGCTGGTCCATCAGGGACGCAAAAGCGCCCCAGACCGGTTTTCACGACACCCAGCCCCTCAGAAAAACGCCTGGACAAGAAGCCCAAGGTCAGTGACCAAGGGACCTTTGCACAGGCGACTAAGGGAATAGTCAGGGTGGCACTTATTATTGAGGGTTACCCTGAAAATAAGATCAAACCCGGGGAAATAGCAGTTATTAAAAAATTGATTAGGGAAAGGATCCTGGAACTTCCAAGAGGCACCAGGGCTCCCCTCTTTACCGGAGCTTGGGAGAGAGACGGGGCAATCATTTGCGGTTGCGCCGATGTAGAATCCGCGGACTGGCTGAAAAGCCTATCCTCGGAGTTAAAACTAGGGAGAACGAGCTACGTGTGCTGCCGCTTGAGGAGCTTCCGAAGCGCCACAGGCTGGTAGTACACCTAGAGGAGCCGGATTTGGCTGTTAAGGAGGCGTTAGAACTCCTTGACAGACAAAACGCAAGACTGGCAGCCAGCGAGTAGGTTGTCGTCAGGGGGAGCGAGAGCAGGGACGCCGAAAGCGCCCACTTCGCTGTTCTTGTCGGCGACTCCTCTCTGAAGGCCCTAAAGAACTGCGGAATGAAACCCTTCTGCGGAATGGGCCGGGCAACTGTAAGGTTGACCGGCAAGGAACGCGGAAGGGAGGTGGAAGCCGCTGGAACGAAAGAGTCTGCATAGAAATGACAGATCTCACAGTTCCAGTGGTGCAGATTAACTTGCATCATAGCAAAGGCGCCTCAGCGATTTTAGCTAGGGGCATGGCTGTGATGCAGACAGCAATAGCACTTGTACAAGAACCATAGCTCTTGAACAACGCTATAAAAGGCCTGAGCGGTAGTGGCAAGATTATCTTGTCCACCACTCAGGGAAAAATAAGGACATATATAGTGACAAAAGATCTAAATGCAATCTTTATGCCGCAGTTCAGTAATGGAGATATCACGGTGATACAAGTGAGGCTAAATTTGGACGAAGGGACCCACAGGGATGTATTGATGGGGTCAGTCTACATGCCCTATGACGCCAAAGACCTTCCACCACAGAGGAAAGTCAAGGAGCTGATGAAATATGCGGAGGAGAGAGGGCTGGAGGTACTCCTGGATTGCGTTGCAAACTCCCAACATGTGGGATGGGGAAGCACGGGCATCAACCCGAGAGGGGAAAGCCTACATGAATTCGTCATGGACAGCAAGCTAATCATCCTAAACAGAGGAACGGAACCCACCTTCATGGACTGCAGAAGACGTGAGGTTATAGACCTAACCCTGTGTACGAGGGGAGTGGCTGACCTGGTGAAAGACTGGAGAGTCTCAAACGAACCTTCGGGATCGGATTACAGGCAGCTACGTTTTGCGCTCGAGCACAGGGAAAAGAGGAATTGGGGTCGCAACCCCAGAGGCACAAACTGGACGAGCTACAGGAAGGACCTTGGCACCATTCTGAAAAAAGCCCCGTCCAGATTTAATACAAAACAGGATCTAGAAGTGGCGTCGCAGTTTGTCAGCGACGCTATCATAGAGGCCTATGAAGCAAACTGCCCACTAAGGCGAAAACAAGTCTCATCCAAGGTCCTATGATGGAATAATGAGCTTATTAAGCTCAGGGTTGAGACAAGAAGGCTTTTCAATAGAGCAAGGAAGTCAAAAGCGGAAACTGATTGGGCAGCTTTCAGGAGCTCCCAACGACGCTATAGCAAAGAAATCACAATGTCAAAGAGGAGGAGCTGGAGGAAGTTCTGCGGGAGCGTTGAAAGTTCTCCGGAGATATCCAAACTCAACAAAATCCTCAGCAAAGACAATTCACCTCAACTGGGATGTCTTAAGCTCCCGGATGGAAGATACACTGAATCAACGGAGGAGACACTGAGACACTTGATGTCCACTCACTTTCCGGGATTCAGAGAGGATGTCACGATTCGGGGCAACAGAGACGAGAATCAATCAAGAGAACCTCGTGTGACCAAATAGTGGTCCCTCGCGGCCAGAATCGTACAACCGAGCGGGGTCAAATGGGCAATAGAAACCTTTGAGCTTTATAAGGTACCGGGACGGACGGCATTTACCCGGCACTCCTAAGGGAGGGACTGGAGGTGCTGACAGGTCCACTAATAAAAGTACTCAGGGCTAGTATAGCCCTGAGATATGTACCATAAACCTGGAGGGAGAAGAGAGTAGTCTTTTTCCCTAAACCAGGCAGAAACGGTCATATTAGGTGATAAACTTAGTTTCTGCGGTTTAATTCGTGTGGTACCCATTTTCCCTTCTTTTGAATGTTTCCCATTGCATGTAGACGTTTGGAAACAGCCATCGGGTAACATTTAATGCTGCAGACAATTCTTGGAGCGTTTGAGTAGAGTTTTCGTCCAATAATGCCTGCAAATCGGTGTCTTCAAACTTTTTCGGTTGGCCTGAGCGTTCTTTATCATTGACATCAAAATCACCACTCTTAAATCGCTGAAACCATACTTGGCATGTTCTTTCCGATGGAGCATAATTGCCATAAGCTTCGAAAAGCAATTTATGAGCTGCAGCTGCAGTTTTTTTCAAGTCAAAGTAATGAAGCAGCACATGTCGAAAAAACAACTTATCACGTTCCATATTTAATCAAAAGAAAAAATAGCACTGCTCGCTTAAATGAATCTCTTCGCACTGAATTTTATTGACAAATGTCTAACCT